ATGAAATATAAATAATTCTTGGTATTTAAAAATCAACAGATAAGAATTATATAGATTAAAAACTATATTTATTAACAAAGAATCATCAGAAATCAACACATCAATAATATATTACTTTTGTTATTTTTACATAGATATTATTATGTCTCTAGTTACTTAACGTACTTGTTGCTGTTAAATTACTAAATTTATAAACATCTAGGTTAGGTTAGTAATTTAATCGTAGTAACAATTTCTAAAAAAATATTTGCTACATCGATAATATAGTATAATAAAATTAATATACAAGAAGACAAAACTATTATCTACATATAAAATTTCACTTTGTAAACAATGTTTTTCTCCAAAATAAACAAACGAATCAAGGAATTTGTTCGATTGATGCAAAGATGTGCCAATTTTAATCCTTTCCTTCGCTCGATTGATGGATGCTTTCACAGGGGAACGAGATGCGCATGCAAACCAAACGAAGCGCTCGCGCGCACGTCGCTATACGGACGTGTTCTATTCAAAAATTTCCCGCGCGGAAATTACCGCACAAATGCGGGAATTCCGCAGGTCTCATTGACATGCGGGAAATCGCTGGAATGCTGTAACGCGGAATGCGGGATTGCAAAGCCTAGTACGCACAGTAAACAGACAGTTTTCTAAAATTTAATTCTTTATGGAAAAAAGAGAGGAACATTTGTAACATATTTCAATACTTTGAGATGAAGAATCTGCTTTAATTTTATTTTTATCTTCATAAATCCATGACTACATATAATATATGATAAGGTATTAACCTTTTTAACCTTTTTAACCTTTTGAAAATCTTCAAATCTTCTCTGTTTTCATTTTAAAGACTCTAGTCAGAATATTTGGAAGGGTGTTTCTTTGTTGTTTACTTGCATCGTCATACAATATTTATTTTCTTGTTATCTTGTCGTTAGAAAAATTATTATCAAAGTTGAAGGAATGATTTGAACAACATATCTGTTTCAAATTATTCCTTAAATTTAAAAGTAGTATAGCTGAGTTAAATATACAGGGTGTTCCATAATTATTGCGACAAAATAATAAGGGTTGTAGAATATAAGCAATTTTGCCTTATAAACCCCTGTCGGGAAATATGCCATTTGGCCGCTATAGCAAAAAAAAAAGATATCAAAAAAATACCAGTTCATTGATTGGAATCTCTGGAATATCCCTGGTATATCCTAAACCTGTGCGGACGCGGCCATCACTCCCAGTAGTTCTTGTTGGTTGGGAACAGGAATTTCATACACTAAAACTTTAAAATGGCCCCAGAGAAAATAATCCAACGAGGTCAAGTCGGGCGACCGCGCAGGCCAATGCATAGGGACACCTTGGCCTAACCACCTGTTGGGAAAGATTTCGTCCAAATACTGTCGCACTGGCGAAGCAAAGTAGCTTGGAGCGCCATCTTGTGGAAACCACATGTCAAGTGGCACATCCTCCAATAGTTTCGGAAGCATATGCTGTAGGAATTGAGCATAAACGTGTCCATTCAAACGTGGTTGGAGCAAATATGGCCCGATGATCTGCTCGCCCACAATGCCGGCCCAGATGTTAATTGCAAACTGATGTTGGTCTCTACGGAGGGCTACGGCATAGGGGTGTGGCGCCTTTAGGCCGACAAAAATGTAAACACAGCAAGCTATTGAGTCAGGGGCTTATTTTCATGCCCTCTACAACCCCTATCATTTTGTCGCAATAATTATGGGACACCCAGTATAGCTGAGTTTATTTTATTTACAATCACGCTGATTGATTTGAATTACCATCAGAATCATATACTTACAAATAAAAGTTGAATATTTGTAAAATAAGAAAGATGCTACGAAATAATCATTATGTGAACAAAAACTAAATGAGAACAATTTTCCTGTTGCAGTTTTATAAAATCTTTATAAAATGTCTGATATAAATATACACAAATCTGTTTGAAAACGAAACTATCATACAATTTATTTTATTAGGTAAATTATGCCAAATCCTTGAATCTTGGTGGTGTTATGATCTGGTCCATAGAAACAGAAGACTTCTTAGGATTATGCGGAACCAAATACCCACTGCTCAATGCCATCAACAGTGCCTTGGTAAGTATTACGTAGATGTCCCTTTTTCAATCTGCGAGATTGTTGTAAGATGTAAAAGGAGAGTCAAATTGGAGTAAAGTTGTGTAATTTAAATACGAATATGTTGACATAACAGACGAACAAAACATAGATATTTTTGGCTCAGACATTTCATTTTTTCCGTTTACCATTAACACGCCATGGGTTCGATTCTCACAGTCAGACGACCGTAGATCTGCTGACTTGTAGAGAGTACTCTCTCCTGGTATGGTTGGATGAAAGAACGTTAGTTCTAATTTCTGGTTTAATCCTTTCAATTAAATTGAAGGGTATAGATGTTATTATACAGGGTGTTATAAAAAAGTTGAGTAAACCGTTAACCGCAAATACTTTAGGCAAAATATTAGAATGCTCCTTATATCACTTTTCATTTAGGTGCTTCAAGGTAGATGGTGTCAAACACTATATACCTTATACACAGCAAATATTAGTTAGGTAATACTGTCAATTTGTATTTTATATACAATTTTATTATATCCATTTTCAAGAACGCCCCTTTAAAGATCTATTCTAAAGAAAAATTCAGAAATAGTAAGATCTTATTTATCCTGGCTATTTTTCCTTATTGGTATTTGTCAAGAATAATATTGAAGCAACAAGATTGCAAAGTCTTGATTTGGGGAATAAATAACATCCATTTTTTTTTCAAATTTAAGATATTTTGTTTTTAAATCTACAATTATTATCAATAGGATAATCAGTTAATGCCTCTTCTTCTGTAGAAATCCTCCAGTTTTGACTCAAACAACTCATCTAACCAAGCTCTTAACTCACTCTCGTTGTTAAAAGAAACACCGTGTAAGGAGTTTGACAAGAGCGGAAGGGGTGAAAATCGGAAGTCTTGAAATCGGGGGCGTAAGGCTGGTGGGGCCGTTTTGGTTATATTGGCGATATGTGGTCGCGCATTGTCATGTAGCAAAAGAACGTTGTAACTCCAATTAGGCCTTTTTCTGCCTGGAATACAGTAGGGAACGTCCCCATACTGCAGCTTACACTCCATCTGGGTCTGAATCCATATATTCCTGCACCCGTCCCTCTGGCCATTTTGGAGCCATCCGTAACTCCATCTTTCCAGGGTACCAAACTTCCCATTTGCTTTGATCCTCTATTCGAGTCTCAAAAGGTTTTGGAAGTGAAACCCTGGAACCATCTTGTCAGATACCATACCAAGTTGGTTCCGACATAGATGTGTCCATAATCCTGGAATAGAGACTACCCTTCCAGTTACTGAGTCGGTATGCTGCTAGCCACGCTTCTCTTTCCACCACTATATGCAGCGGTGGTATATTTAGCATGACTTCTAGCGCACCCAAACAGACCAGTCTCTGAATTCTCTTCAGTTTTTCCCTCGCTATGGTATATTGTGTCTTTTGCCGCCATACAACAGCGCCATAAAAAATCCTAGGTCCTACTATCGATGTATACATCCAATATGACATCTTTGACGTCAGACCCCAGGTGCTCCCAATAAGGCGACGGCATGCACACAATGTCTGCTTCGCCTTACTCACCACTTTTTTCATTAACGTTAGTTTAGTTTAATTAATCAATACCTTTGAAATGTATATTGGTCAGATGTAAACATTGTCAATGAAAATTCACTCTTGTAAAATGGAATAGTCTGGTATTTCCTCAAAAACAAAAAAGTAAACGGAAATCAGAAAAATGTGCCAAATTCGGAAATGTAAAATTCAGTATGGTATCCATAAGTAAAAATATAGTTTAATATATTTTCTATTTATCAGGAACCACAGCTAATACGATAAATAATCGAATTCTCCACAAAAAATGTACTAATAATGTTTGAGATTAAAATTTTACTTCTTTCTCTTTCCAATTAAAAATGAATATCAGTATTTTCAGTTTTTTATCGATAACTTCAAAGTGAAAGGTCATTTTATTTTTTCTCGTTATACTCCACAACTTTGCCCCAATGGGATCGACTTTGTATTATTTAGGTTGACAAAGATGCGACTCGAATACGAGAACCTATATGTACATATATCGGGTGTTCAAAAAAGACCCGAACCCCCCGATAACTCTTCAAGATAAAGTCCTATCTAAAATAGTTTAAGAAAAATGCTGTAGGATTTCAAAAAACCAATTTAACGGTGAACTTGTCTTTGACGTGTTGATAATTTTTTAGGTCAAATCGAGGTCAACTTATTATACTTTACTTTATTTTATAAATCGATAGAGCGTAAAATTTTACGTCAGAATATAGAATACAATTTTTCTTAGATATCCTTGAAGGTCATTTCAAGGTCGATTTTGTTTTTTCTTACGTGTTTTGAATTGTACAGAAAAATGTTATAAGGAATATCAGTAGTATTTAATGACAAATTTATTGGTGACCTTTTATTTGCCCTTGTCCTTATGTTCTTAATCAAATCAAAGTCAAATTGAAAATTTTGAGACCTGTATTTTTAATGTCAACATCAATAAAGCCACCAAATTTAACGTCCAAGTTCAATAAAAGTTCGTTTAAAAATCATAACAATAAGGAGGACAAGAGAAATAACAAAAAGTTAAAAAATAAGAAAAACAAACAATAATAAAAAGTGAAAAAATAAGAAAAAAAATTTAACGCCGATCAATCTGTTTTGGCTTTTTGATGTACATAAATGTTGTAAATGTTCGAATTGAAGACCAATTTACAGTTTGACAGACAGTGAGCAGTCCCTTGATAAAAATTAGACACAGCATTTCTAATAATGTTGTGATCTATCAAAGCAACATCACGAAAAATACGGTCCCGCAATTCATTTAAATTATTTGACATTCTCATCATTCAACCTTGAAATGACCTTTAAGGATTTCTAAGAAAAAATGTTTAATCCATATTGGGACGTAAAATTTTACACTCTATGAAATTTTTAAGTTCACCTTGATTTGACTTTAAAAATTGGAGTCAAGGTCACCGCTAAATTGATTTTTGAAATCCTACAACTTTTTCTGAAACTTTTTTGATAGGATTTCATCTTGAAGGATTAGGGTCTTTTTGGGACACCGTGTATATACAAAACTTCATTTTTACAGAAGCAATTTAATAAGAAGGTATTTTTGTTGCTTTATAGGGAATTGCTAACGAAAACATAGAAGAACCTTCTGTTGATGATGAAGTAGACGCAGATACTGCAGATGATGCAAACAATGGTACATCTGTAGATGAAACTGCTACAGATACTAACTCCACTGCCTCTGACAACACTGCTTCCGACAATGGCTCCAGTGACGGATCAAGCACTATTACCTGCACAAGCGCTGGATACGTCAGGGATCCATCAAACTGCAATATATACTACTACTGCCTTATTGTTGGAACCACTTACTTGCCGATTGCTCAGCAATGTAGTGCCAATCTGTACTTTGACGAAACTAGTCAAACATGTAACTGGCCTGAATTAGTCAGTGGTTGCTAAATATTTTTGTATACATCTTTATCTTGACATTACAAATTTGTTAAAAAGAAATGTATAAAAGATTGTTGTTTCGCTGATTTTTCCTTTTAAATTAGCTTATTTATTATACATAATATCTATAATTTTAACAAACCCAAAGTTATTGGACTTTAATTCCACGTAAGAATTAAAATATAAATACATCTCTAATAAAAAAATTTAGAAATTTTTGGAGTCTTTCTGTCACACTGCCAGCAATTTATTTGAATATATTTTATTTATTAATTTATTTAAAATATTCTATAAATGTACTTTATTATTCTCTAAAATATTTGCTTTCAACTAATTTTTGCAGATATGTTATTTATTATTTACCTTAAAGTTTTCAGAAGATATTTCTTTAAGTATAAATTAATATTTTTCAACAATAATTAAATTTTTCTGTTAAAAATACCATTTTGCTCTATATAGAGAATAGAACATAGAATCGATCTTGTTACAAAAATTCTCGGAATATCTCTCGGTGATTCACTATATTTTGACCGTCCCATTAACTTTTTTATTTTATAAAAAAAATGTGAAATACAAAAGTTGAACGATTTTTTATGAAGTTTTTGAAAATGATAGATCATTATCATAAAAAATCGTGCAGCTTTTGTATTTCACATTTTTTTATAACTCTTAAAACAAAAAAGTTAAAGGGGGGGTCAAAGTATAGTGAATCATCCTGTATTAACTCAAAGTAGCAACTAAATAAAACCCAAAAACGATTTTTGATGGACTTTTAATGTAATCCTCATTGTAAAATTAGTATTTACCCTTTTCAAATTATTTATTTTAAAATAATCTGCTATCTGGAATCTGATAAATTCTTTTACTACCTAAACACGTGTTTTGTATTCTGTATATATCCTTGAAAATATAATTATGTTTACCTGCCTACTTCTCATTTAAAAATAAATTTGATTACTTTCTCCAGATTTATTTATCAATAATGTTATCTGTCTATTAGGCCTTTACTTTTACTTTGTCTACATGCATCAAATTGTAACCAAGAAATTACTAAAATTCTTCCAGAATTCTTTGCTTTATTTTTTGCATAAACTTTAATTTTTAGGCGAGATATACAAGGTGTTAACCTTAATAAATTATTGTCACCATTACTCAATATTTAATGGGACGGAACATTACTTTGTACGTACTGGCAAAAAGCGACCTGCATTTATTATGAAAAGTACCCCAATATAAGAAACAAAATTTTGAACTAATGATGTTATGAGAAACAACTATTCCAACCACCATTGAATTACACCTGAAATATCTAGTAAACAGCTAAGATCATTCGTTATTAATCTTTGACTTCCTGTGTTAAGGAAAAAGACGGTTGAAGTTGATTTAGTTTATAATATAAGAAATACTTTTATCAAATGTCGACATTTTGCAATATAACAAATCAATCAATATTTCGTCTTGTCCACGGAAAATACCCACCGTACCATACAAAAAGGTTGCAAGTATTTCTGTTAATACTGTTCACAATCAAAATATTTTTTGCGTTTTTTTACGTGACGATGATATTTACTGCTCTCGGGAAACCCACATTAATTTATATCTATCAGAATGTTTTTTATGATGTTCTCATCAGTATGGTATAGAGGAAAACGACATACAAATGATCTAGCTTCTATTTATCGACATGTTTTGAGTGTTATTGTTGCTGCCACTCAATATCTCTATACAGGGTGTTCAAAGAGTTTGGAACCCCGCCTCTATCTCAGAAAATACTACTCAGACAAAAAACTGATTAGCACAAAAGTTGCAGGGTTTTGAGTGAGCAAACCAACGGTGACCTTGACCATGACCTTGACCATGACCATGACCTTGACATTAACAATGACATTGAAGGTCATTTAGAGGTCAAGTTGAAAATTTTAAATGGGATCGTATACTTTTGACCCCGGAAATGGAAAAAATTGAAATTTTTACTTTCGGATGTAACCTTGACCATGACCTGCAAGGTCATGTAAAAGTCAAATTGAAAATTTTAAATGGAACCGTATACTTTTGATTCCGGAAATGAAAAGAGCGAGGAATATTGGGTCATTTATTAAAAATCGATTTGACATGTAAACAACCTTGAAGGTCATGGTCAAGGTCATATCATTTAAAATTTTCAGGTTGACCTTTAAATGACCTTCAAGGTCATGGTAAAGGTCACCGTTGCATTGCTCACTCAAAACCCTGCAACATTTGTCCTAATATTAAAACTTGTAGATTACTCTACTTTCTAAACATAAGAAAACGATATCTACAAATCATTCTCATTTTTGTTGCTATGACGTGTTCTCTTTTCTTCAAAGGGTCTATGTAAAGGGTTACGTTTTCTTTAGTCCCTTTATTTTTCGTTTCTCTTCTTAACAACCAACAAGTTTTCGCCCTACATATATAAAAAAGGGCGAAAATTTCCGAATATTTCTGAGGCGAAATTGAAGGAAGGTGTATTCGATGGACCTTAGATTCGGAGATTGTTCAAGGATGCAACATTCATCACTACAATGAGTAGCGTTGAGAAGAGTGCTTGGACTGGTTTCAAAGTTGTAGTGACATATTTTCATGTCTTACATTAACATTAAGGTGAATTCAACTATTTAATTTCGAAAAAGAAGATAGCGGCGATGCGTTCTATTACTTGGTCTAGCGAACGAGTGGGGAAGGCGAGGCTTAGCATGCGCGCTTAACGATGTAATAAATATTAACATTTTTTCAGTCATTTTTAAACAAATTAAATTTGAAAAATTAAATTATCAGTAAATGCATATGTCAATACAACTATTTAGGTACAAAAACAACTAATGATCGAAACCCTACAACGCCTGTGAGCTTGGGAAAAATGAATTGAAAATAGCATCTTCTTAGATAACAAATTCCGCCAACGCCAAGCTAATGAAGCTTTTGGGCTGAAATTTTTACCACTTATTAAGGGTGCAAAAAGCCTAAAAAATCCTGAATTACAAGTGTCTGCGATGAAAATTGCATTAATTATTAGCAATTGAAAAAAGCGGACAATTTCGACCATTTTTGAGCTCTTGCGCATAAACAAATTATCAGAATTTAATCGGACATGTCTTATTTTACAGATTTATTGAATACCTACCTTCTTTGTATAAACCTTTTTTCTCTATGAATAACAGTTTTTTTACGCGAGTCAAAAAACCACTTTTCCATAATTTTGACCATTGTTTTAACAGTTTCCCAACTAGTCTCTGATTTTTTGATATTTTGTTTATAACACGTTTCTGAACAATATTCCGCAGAGAAACTTGTAATAGTATTTTTTTCCCAAAAAAAGCTATAATGACTGGCCTATATTTCGCAAATGGTTCGTTTACGGATCCATGTTTACTAATACTTACGTACCTAGTGTACTTAAAGGTTTCAATTTGCGCTATTAATTATGGTACACCCTGTACAGGGTGCATCAGTCACAATATTATTAATTTTAACCACATATTCGGAAGGCCAATAAAGACAGAAAATAAAAAAACCCATTTTTTTCTTGACTTTTTAAAAAATTAACAAATTACCCCTTAACTCCCGTAACTCGATGCTCCACTTCCTAAAAGGGAACGTGCCGTGCAGGCCAGCGAAGTACACAGCAATCGGACATTGTAGCGAAACAGCTGATGTCTTAGTCGTCGTCTCGTCCAGTTTTGCAGTTCCTTTCAAAACCAGAATGCAACGGATCCCAACTTTATTAAGACTCTATGGAAGAATCAGTGAGTGTTTTTAGACATATTTTTATTTTAAATAAGAAGGTGCCATATAACTCTGAAAAGTAGTAAGTTACACAATAACATATACGTACTACAAACTGAATAATTACCTAATATGTAATACTAAATACTCATATCCAATCATAAAACAGTGAAAACGTTAAGAATAAGTATTAAAGTTAGATTACTGACCAGTACGATAGGTCAAGTTTCACTCTCGATGTAGATCAGCGGGCAGGAAAAAGGGTGTTAATAATGATTTGACAATATTTTTTTTCAAAGTAAATATACATTTTAAATTTGTTTAATCTACTCATTTTTCCCTATTTTCTAAAATTAATGACATTATGACTGAAATACCCTGTATATATATATTCAAGAAAAATAATCCGGAGAACAATAAATTGGGCTACGAAAACTGTAATTTAGATTTGCAATTTAGATTTGTAGAACGCCATCTAGTAATGAAAAAATGTATTGATTTATTTCTGTTTACATGAGCTCCTCTAGATGTCGTATCTTACCACATTTAATCAACATAACAAGCCTATAAATAATAATTATTTCGAAACTCTAATAATTGTAAGTGATACACATTGACAAAGTCAATCCCGATGTCTCATTAGTTTTTTGGAAGGATGAAAATAAATTCCCGAGGATCGTACTAAATATATTTAAATTTTCAACATACAACATAGTAGGAAACAACTACCTACTCTACGGGCCAAAAATATATCCAGCAATATTTAGTAAATATACAGGGTTTTCAAAAAGATTGGAACCACTTCTCTATCTCAGAAAATACTGCTCAAACAAAAAAAATATTAGGAAAAATGTTGCAGGGTTTTGAGTGAGCAATGCAACGGTGACCTTTACCATGACCTTGAAGGTCATTTAAAGGTCAACCTGAAAATTTTCAATGATACGACCTTGACCATGACCTGCAAGGTCATGTAAAGTTCAAATTGAAAATTTTAAATGGAACCGTATACCTTTGATTCCGGAAATGAAAAGAGCGAGGAATAATGGGTCATTTATTAAAAATCGATTTGACATGTAAACAACCTTGGTCATGGTCAAGGTAATATCATTTAAAATTTTCAGGTTGACCTTTAAATGACCTTCAAGGTCATGGTAAAGGTCACCGTTGCATTGCTCACTCAAAACCTTGCAACATTTGTCCTAATAATTTTTTTGTTTGAGCAGTATTTTCTGAGATAGAGGGGTGGTTCCAATCTTTTTGAAAACCCTGCATATTTACTAAATATTGCTGGATATATTTTTGGCCCGTAGAGTAGGTAGTTGTTTCCTACTATGTTGTATGTTGAAAATTTAAATATATTTAGTACGATCCTGGGGAATTTATTTACATCCTTCTAAAAAACGGGATTGACTTTGTCAATGTGTATCACTTACAATTATTAGAGTTTCGAAATGATTATTATTTATAGGCTT